TGGGGGCGGGTGCACGTGTGTTTATGCAGCCTGCTCATCATGTACTCGTTCATGTGGGTGTGACAGTGTGCTTTCTGAAGTGTCATTTGTAGGGAAGAGACAATTCAACAAAACAGAAAAGAGTGTGCGAGAGCAGAGGAACGCAGAGGAAATAATCAAGTGATTATAGATTGCCTTCTTGCAATTAAAGGATTAGCATGCTTTTGCTTTGTAGTGATTTGTTTTGTATGCCTGTTTTTTTGTATTCAGATGCACCTTGAAAACTGGATGGCCTAAGCATCCAGTATCAGTCTCCCCCTTTCTCTCAGTCTCTCTTTGCCGTGTGTTTTTTGATGTCTAGCATTGCTCTAGCCTGTATAGTTAGCATGTCTTTAATTATCCACCAACATGACATACCACTTAGAGCTCTGAATCCCTGTTGCTGTTATGCAACCCAACCCTCCCACACACAAACACATTTATATACCTTAATTATGTATGCATCTTTCCCGAGTGGTGGAGTATGACAGCTCTATTAGCTTATGCTTTGAATGTGTGCATGTGCTCATCGTGCAGAGTGCCAGATCTGTGGTGTCGTTGAAGGTTTTGATGCCTGTAGTATTCTTGTTGTTAACCTAAAGGTGATGAATAAAACTCAATGTGTGACACAGCATGCTGTGCAAAGTAGAACAAGCTCGTGGATTAAGTCGTAGAGCAATGAATATGTATATTTCCAGGCTCAAACACTGTTATATGTGCTTTTAAATGACAATAAAAAATAATAAAATGTCATGTTTTTGGGATCATAAACGTAGAGAAAAAAAAGCAATTACCTCCAGTATACACAAACAAAATTACAAGAAAACATCACAAGGTACCAAAGCTTAAAAAGAGAATGAATTAATAATCAACAAGAATTTGTTTGAGGACATTGTGTTGACAGGTTTTCTGATGAGGTTGTACTCTGTTGAAGAAAGCACTACCTAAATATTTAGAGATATAGCTAGCCAGTAGTCCAAAGTACAAATTTAATTCACAGTGATGCGTAATGAAGTATGAAGATAAAATTTAGATATTGTTGCAGAATTATTTTAACGCTGTCAAGGGGCTGGTTACAGAATTTTGGACCAATGGCAGTGTGGTTATAGTCTTAAAATCATGCAATGAAATCATATCATATGTATATTGGAAGGAATAATCAAGGCTATAAAGCTTATATTTTAAGCTCTACTGACTGTTCACAACACTACAGCAGCGTCTCTGCTTATCTTTTTTTACTGAGACAAAGCTTTAGTAGGCTTTGATGCTCGTGTTGGTCACTTCCAATCATACAGGTCTAACAGGATTACTGGTAGCTTGTCATGATACTGGGACAGCCGCAGCCTGTTTGATATCACCAGTGACCTTATGATCACCGCTTCAACAGATGTCCTGCAGGTGTCCCCGTCACCTTTGCAGTCTTACTGAGCTGTTCTGTAATTGTTGAACATTGTCTTGGCTCACCTCGAAACCTGACATTCAGTTTAGTTAGTTAGTTTACTTCCAACTTGCAACAACAAAGTTTTCTGAATTTGCTAAAAAAAAAAAAAAAAAAAAAAAATCTCAGACAAAAGTGTAGGTTTGAACTTTCCACCCACATCTACCCATATTAAGAACATATAGTTGAATATTTCTATATGTTTTTCTGGGAGGATTTTCTGGCTGACAGAAAAAGGAACACCGGAAAGAATAATAAAGATACAAATATGAGTATCATCTTGTGCTTTAAGATGCACAAAAGAAAAACTGAGTTGCAAAAATTAAACTGGGGGTAAGCAAGGCAATACAAACTACTTAATTACACAAAGGGCTTTCACTTAGGATCCACTCTGTTTCTATTCTGTTTGATCCCTCCCTTCTCTGTTTTGTTCTGTTCCTCTTTATAATATCTCTTTTAACTTAAATGAGTCCCTAAAAGGCCCTTGGCGGCCCAGTAAAAGTCCCTGGAACAGTAAAACTGTGTTAAAGTGAGTGATGGTGGCAGCAGTTAGGTTTATATTGCTAGCTAGCAGCTCTTTATGAGACTGTGTAGACTACTTTCTTCCAGGGACCGAGGAGTAAGGGAGGAGAGAGTGGAGGAGGACAATGCACTGAATAGGATTATGTCAGAAGGATCACATTAAAATTTCCTTACTGCTCAGTTTACCAAAGAGAATTTGCTACTCTGTCGGTGCATATTCCCCTTGACACATGCACACCTAAAAGTGCATTCCCTCTCAGGATAGATCCATGTGTGGTGTCTAAGGAGAAAGCAGGTTGAAGTTTAGTGCCCTGCTGAAGGGCACTTTCCACTTCCAAGTTGTCAGTTTCAGCCCTCAAAACACTTCCTGACAGTGGCCAGAATCAAACCAGCAAAGGGAACTATAGTGCAGTTTCAAGTTGGACTGGCATTTAGTAACTAACAGAAGAGAAGTTAGTGGAGGAAGGAGTTTGGCAGTAGTGAACTTTGGTTAAAAAGAAAGAGGCAAGTGGTGAGATGAGGAGCGAAGAGAGGAAGTATCCCCACAGCGAGAATGTTAAGTGTTTACAAGATGAAGATGCTGTCGTGCATCTCTCTGCTCCTCCGTCTACCCCATGCCACTCTCGCTGACACACCGCCATCACACCTAATCAGCCAATCACGGCTGGATTCTGTCTAAGAGGCCTGATTGGCTGATTAACCAAGCTCATCAGCACACCACCCGGTGCGCCTACAGACACACAAGCACATACACAATGTGCAGATTACTGAGTATATCCTGTATCGTGTGTGTGTGTGTGTGTGTGTGTGTGTGTGTGTGTGTGTGTGTGTGTGTGTGTGTGTGTGTGTGTGTGTGTGTGTGTGTGTGTGTGTGTGTGTGTGTGTGTGTCTGTGTCTGTGTCTGTGTGTGTGTGTGTGTGTGTGTGTGTGTGTGTGTGTGTGTGTGTGTGTGTGTGTGTGTGTGTGTACACATGCGCATAATCTATGCATGCATTTGTTATCTTCTTTGCATTTGTAAATGGTTTGGAGTCTGTGTGGGCAACATGTCTGCAAGTCTATAAAGTTTAAAAATGAAAAGTTGTTTTACCATTTTCAGCTCCTTAAAAATGGTTTGACTTTGCATTTTAGTCTTGAATATTATTTTGGATGGCTGTGTGTGTGTGTGTGTATTTGGGAACCATCTTTTGCACAAATTGCCCAACAGCTGTAGTTGGGTGTACATAAACTAAAGCAAAGGCACAGAGCCTCAAATTACAGTTTTGGGAATATACTCATTTATGTGTAATATTATAATTTTCTTGGTAGCTGGCAATTAAACCACACATTTATAAACAATCAGTATATCTGGTAATAGTCAGTATCATAGAAACTCCATCAAAACAGTTTTTCTTTCACTGTAAGTCATAACACAAAATAAAGAAAGGTATTGAGTAGGAGGGCAGGTTCACTATAGCAAAATCCATGGAATTTGGACCTACCGTTGTAGCAAATACCAATGCAGAGATTTCTGGGAGCAAGCGGGAAGCATGAATAGCATGTTTTCATTTTTGAGGTTAGATTTACAAACCATAGCTTACTGAATCTTCCTTACACGAGGTGGCTCCTTGAGCTCTACTCATGTTTTCCCTCGGTTATTGGGATGTCTGCCATGGGGCATCTGCAGATTGGTATGCCTGAAGATTGCCTTATGGTCAATACAGTGTTTGACACGTAGCAAATGAAAGGTTTTTATCTATTATATATCGTATAATAAAACTTTAGTGAGGAGTCGCAATGTATTTGCAGTATTTTAACTTTCTATTAGCTGCAGTGGCCACTGCGGTGTATGATACTTATATCATGCATTGTGCATGATTCAGGATTTCCACAGTAGCCTCTGTCATTACACATATCTCATTCTTCCTGTCTTCCCTTTATTCATCCTCTATTCCATTATCATTTTCCCATGCAGAGCACGGCAACACGTGGAATATAGCAGGAATATTGCAGGGCCCAAAGGCAGATCAATGCCAATATTTATTTCATGTCCAATTACTGGGGCAGAACCGCAGTCCGGAGAATGCAGCGATGAAAGTAAACTCATAGAGAGCCACACAGAAACCCCATTAGAAGTGCAGCCTGCAGCCTATAAGCTTCAAGAGTAAGGAATATGAGTACAAGCGCAGGTTATAGGATTCCAATAGCGCGAGCTACAGGCATTACCAGAGGGTGAATCCTCCAGAAAGCGGAGTGAAATCCTGTTGCTTTCAGTGGGAGATCCCCCCCACTATCCTTTTTCCTCCTCTTCACCTTCACCTGTTTTTTTCTGTTACAGCTTTAGAAAGCCAATTCATCTTTAGAAATTCAGGAATCCCACCTGTACTCTATATTAAACAGTGAGAGTTAAAGAGAATGGTCAGAACATATCAAAGTCAATCCTGTTCATCACTAACCAAGCTCTGAAATATTTCACACACTCATGTTCTCTCTACTTTTTTTTTTTTTTTTTTTGGCTGTATGAGAGTGAACATGATAATGTTTGAGCTGTATACGGTGATATTTACAAGTAGGCCTGAACATTATACATGATGTTGACAAGTCTCAGTATTGTAATGCCAATTCTTGCCTTGTGTCAATAGCAGTGGGACAGATACTGAGAGACAAATTTATTTCAGTAGTTGCAAATTAAGAAGGAAGAATTTATATTGAATTACTGTTTGCTTTTAAATATTTTACCAAAACCATACTATGCTACCAGGAGTTAGATTACAGAAGCTCTTGTAAACCTCAGTTATAATTTGTTTTAAAGATTACTTCTCTTGTATAAATAAAACAACATTAGCAATCCAAGCAATCACTGACTTTTTATTGATCTGCTGTTCTTTTTTCGTAAAGGTACAAAGGTTCACAGCTGGAGCACAGTACATTTTCATTGCAGTCATTCCCACTAATCAATAGATTTTTCTTCATTATAGATCAATAGTCCCTGTATCACTTAATGACTTGCACCCTCCCTTCTGTTTCTCTGTCCTCCCCACTCCAGATTTGTTCCTGACCACTGAGGGGCCTAAGTTTGAGACGTGGCTCAGTAAGGTAATAAGCCTTTTTGAATATGTTTGTTTCTTGTTTTCCTGTCGCAGCTTTCCGTTTCCACTGCCTGCCTGTCTGTTCAGTTCAGACAGGACAGCCATATGTGAGTCATCCCACTCCTCTGTATCTGTGCAGTAGGATGCATGATCACTGTGTGGTAAACATGATTTTCTTTTAAATCAAATCATAGCTTTTATGACTGTTAATCCTCATATATTATCTTGTGTTATGATATATCACATTGCTGTATCAACAGTACAGAACTCTTATGTAAAGTTTATAATATTGCATATTGATTTGTAGTCTTTAAGGACAAATAAAACACATAACTTTGATTTCACAAATGCCCTTCTCAAGTTACCAAAGCCTCTAGTGATGGTATAAAATTGCCTTTTTTTGTCAGACTAACTGTCAAAATCCCCAAAAGGTCATTTCGCAAAAAAAAGATATGGAAGACAGCCAAAGAAATATTCTCTGATTTGAGACGCACCAGTGAATATTTGCAGTGTAAAAACAGAAAAAAAGCCAAACAGGTGTATTCTTTTTGAAGGTGTATGTGAATAAAACTATGTAGACTCTAGAAACTGTCATATGGTGAACTGTCAGTGGTGGTCCCTGATCGAGTGATTCCCAACTGATGGGCAATGGTTCAAAAGTGGACTGAGGGTCGCACGTCTGTGGGTCAAGGGACTGTTGTTTTCCACAGACTGAGCTAGCTAAATACAAAAAACACAAAATATTTAACGTGGTTATACCTGTATTGAATGCAAAAAACAGCATTTTGTGAGTTTCAAACCTCTTTTCTTGTCTTTATTATTTCAGCACCTATTGTGGTATTGATCTGTTTTGTTTATCAATCTAAGTTGTTATGCTGTAAAAATAGTTTTAGTAGCTCAAACATGCCTGAATTAGATGTAACAGCTTTTTTACTGCTTTTGGTTGTTTATATTGGTTTTTTAGCCCTAATTGAACTATTTTGCTGTGTTATTTTTATTGAGCTATGAGCCCCTGTTGCACTTCAGTTTTTTAGTTTTAAAATTGAAGGTTTGTAAGCACTGTCTCCTCACATCGAGAAGGACCCAGGTTTGAATGAATGACGGGCAGAATGCATGAAAATAAACTGAATGGGTGTTAAATTGATCTATGTGTGGACCGTGACCCTGATGTCGAAGGGAAAATTTGATCTCAGTGGGAACCACAACAAATAGCTGTTACCTGAACTTTATGATGAAACAATGATAAAGTGATTACTTTCTGTTCTAAAATAACACAGCATTTCTTCACTTTTAAGGTGTATGTTTATACTTACACTTACCTGCTCTCAGCCACTGTTGTCCATAAACTAAGGACTTATGGTTCGTAATAGAAATGTTTTGTGTGTCCCTTTATGAACACCAATAGGAAGATTGTGTCTGACTCTGTATGGTAAGCAAAAGTATGTACCTAGTGAGCAGAGAGTGACGACCCACACACCACCCCTCTTTTCATTTCTTTATTGCAACAAACAGATCTACAAAGCTTGGGGGGGTGCAGAACTGTTGGCACTGCTGCAGGACTATTTAATATTCTGGGAGAGCAGAGAGGGGAGACCGTGGCTCTGGGCTTTTGTCGAAGGGGCCTATTTGAAATTCAGCAGGTCGAGGCACAAGCCGAACAGTAGTCTGTTATCACAGAGAGGGAGAGTAGGAGAAAGGAAGGGGAGGAGGTAAGATAGAAGAGAGAAACTGGGCCACTGTTTACACCTGGCATTAACATGCGTCTTGGGTGATCCGATTACAAGTGGACTGCTCTAAGTACATTGGTTCACACCTGGCATTAGAATGTGTCTGCTTGTGATCAGATCTTACTTCCCCGCCCTAAATGCAAATAAACACCCACATCATTTCTGGTTTCCTCTAATATGAATCCTCCAGTTTCCGTTGTACTGATTCCCAAATGGAAATCAGACAGCATGTGTGCTCCATCAATTAGAATACATTTTGCCTGTTGTTGGGACTTCGTCTTGTCTTTTCACACTTCCATATGTGCGCAAATGAGTATGTACTTCCACTTACGCAGAAAAAGTCAGCTGTTAAGGCAGTTGATTGAATCTCAGTGTGTCCTCAGTGCATCTTGGGTGCATTTACACCTGTACTTAGAGCTTTCCACTTGTGATCACATCACCCAAGATGACCGCAGATAAGAAAAATTGTTGGATTTAGCAGACAGCAGGTGTGTGAGGGTAGAGAGAGACGAAGCAGGACCAAAACAAAAATAAACTGCCTTGCCCAAAAAACAGTATGATAGGACAGGTGTTAGGAATTATGATCAGGTAAGAAGTTCAAAAACATGTTTGGTGGAAAGCTAGGCCCATAGGCCAAGGAAAAAGTGTTTAGTTTTTCAGCTAATGGCATGGCTTCGAGGATAGCAGTGTCAGTCTTTGGGTCGGTTGCTCCACTGCGTTGGTGCAGACTGAAATTTCTGAACAACTATGTGGTGGTTTATGATGAAATTAAGCCTCTATAGCACCACCGTAAGGTTAACATTTTTATTTTTATTTCGAATATCTTGATCTATCTAAAACCATTGGATTAATTGCCATGAAATTTGGTACAGACATGGTCCCCAGAGGATTAAAAGATCTTTTATCCCCTGACTGTTAATCTCATGTCATCTTCAGCTCAAAATATATTTTTATCCAATCCTTTGTTCATAGGCAAGTAACTGCAAATCTAATGACATCCCCACAGTCTCAGCTGTACTTTATGTTTATTGCTAATATCCTATGATAATATGCTATAATGTTAGCATTTTACCACAGTAAGTAAGATGCTAGACATAAACTTGCCAAACATTAACATTCTAGCATTATCACTGTGGACTTCAGGAGTGTTTGGTATTTTGTCATACATTTATTTTAATTTTTAATCATGTATTGTGCGTTTGATGCTTGTATAACTCTGTAATTTGAAGATCTGGAGCCAGATGCAAACAAAAAAATCAGAACATTTTCTACAATTGAAATAACAAATTTTAAGGCTTGGGCAGCCTTAGCAGAGGTCTTTCAGGATGCTTGTTGTTTCAACCATAAGACTTTTTCTGTCATGAAGCAAAGTGGAATTAGCATGTAGATGACAATTGGAGTAGTGCTTTTCCTCAGTAAAAATAGAAAGTCATTGGACATCAAAAGTTTGTTTAATCTGTGCAAAGAAACTGAGGCTATCTTCTTAAGCTCACACACAGGCCTGGTAAAAAATGTGTAATGATAATAAATAATTTTGATAGCGGATCAAGACATATGTCTCCCTGACTCTGTGAAACCTTTCTTTGTTTTGCTTTGCGTCATTTATTCGTCGTGATTAATTCATCCTTCAATCTTTTATTAGTTCTTCTCTTTTTAGGAAGGGTCAGTATCTCATTCAGTGTGTCTTGTAATTGTGTACACTTTGCCAACTGCCAATTGATTACTGAAGCTTCATTGTGTGGTGAAGGGAGTCTTTTAAATCCTCTTGGAACAGTGTGTGGAGCAAGGGTTTAAGAAGCATGAAGAAGTGAAAACCCACACTGTAACCAGCAGAATGAGTTTTATCCAGTTTTAGGTCCTCTGCAGTATACCTGTGTCAATCTCATTCTCATCTCGGGCTAATGAAAAAATCCTTTGCTTTCATCTTGCCACATTCTCTGTACTTTTTCCTTTTTCTCTTTGCTTAAATGCACAAACAAGTGCTCACATCAACACATACTTGAATAAATCCAAAAATACCATTCACCCAAAGGCACATGACATACATGGCCATGGATGCACACACACATATACACAGACACACGAGACCGAGCCATTTCCCAGCATCCTTAGAGCATTAGACCCCTGTTAATCCAACTGCGGTCTTCGGTTCAATGCAGCTGCATCTACCGGTCACAGGCCAGCACACTCCTCTTTCTCCAGCACTCTGTTTTAATTACTTTTCTCTGTTTTCTCTCCCACTCAGTCTCCTTCCATCCCTCCCGATCCCTCTGTTTTGCTGCGATTACACAAGAGAAGGCAGTCACATAGAGGAGGGGGGCAACAAGCTAGGGAGATGAGTGAAGAGCGGTTGTTTTCATTGGCCGGCAAGTAGAGCGAAGGGGTTTTAAAGGTCAATTCTATAACGGCTGATAATTTAGTTCAAAAGTGATTTACTTTTACTTTACACACCTCTAGTCATACATATATGCAATATATACTGCAGTGAGCTACTCAAACACATCAGTGTTTTGATATTCAGTCTCTTTTCCATGGAAGCTTTCAGATCAACCCACATGCATTTTTAGCACTTTATCACAGACACACTCAAACAGAAATATAACAAGCCTTACTTCCTCTTTCCAATAGGTGGCACTATGACTATGACTAAATATGGGCATGTAGCTGTGTTCAGGGTGGGGCTTATCAGATTGGTGGAGATTGGATGAAGTACAATGAAGTTTGACAACTTCCTGTTTCTTGGCGAAACATTGGTTTTCGACAGCATGGACACGCCCTTCGACGAAAAGTCAAAATGTAAAAAAAAAAATCATCGTGGACATTTTTAGAGTGTACTCACCAATTTTGAAGTTGATCTGATCATTTCCCTTGGAAGAGATTGTTTAAACACAATGTCAAAAATCGCGTTCAAAAATACAAATGGCCAATGTCCTATTGGTTTTGTGGTATGGGTCCAAGAGGCTTTTTTGCTTGTCTGGTCATCATACACGTGAGGACCAGTTTTCAGATATGTCGGTTGTACGTGTCTTGGGGGCTGATTTTGGGGGCCATTTTGCATCGCCCATGTCCACAGGACCCAATACGAGTTTTTGGGCATGTTGCGGCCACCCTACAAATGTGATCCTTTTGGAAAGAAATGATTCTTGCATTTCAGTAGGGTCCTTGCACTGGTTAGTGCTCAGGCTCTAATAATGTAAAATGTAAATGTGAAGCAAATGTATGTGAGAGTCTCACCAAGCATTCGGAGCCAATAATTTGTGTATGTATGTATTTTGTAAAT